TATTCTCCTCCAACACTATTAACTCAAATGCATCAATTCTTCTTGGTCTTCCTCATTCATTGTCCAACTTTCACAAGCATATATAAGGCTACTGAAAATATCATGGCTTGGGTCAGGCACACCTAACTCCTCAAACTGACATCTTTCTTTGCTCAACACTTTAAAGATGTCTTATGCAGCAGATCTGCATTGTTAGGTTTCTTGGCAGTTGCTTCCATCAAGAGTGTTGATGGTGGATCCGAGCAAAATGAAGTCTTGACAACTTCAATTTCTTCTCCATTTATATGGATGTTGTCTATTGCTCCTGTCATGAGAATTTGTTTTCTTTACATTGAGGCACAATCCATACCAAGGCTGTGGTCTTTGATCTTTATCAATAACTATTTTAAGTGCTCTTTGCTTTCAGCAAGGTTTCACCATGCAGTGTCGTGTTTTACTGTTAGGGTATCTTTCCTTTTTTAAAAAAATCTTGATAGAACTCACCTGAAAAACCATCAAGACTAGTTTGGTTTTAGGAAGATAGATTTTTAAAAATATTTTATTGTGAATTATGTGATAGTTTACATGGGAGAACATCATTAGTTTTACATTCATCCTATCGTATATTGTTCCATTGCCATGATTACAATCCCCTGCATGCATCATCAACCAACCAGAGGGTACACTACAAGTTTGTTCCCTGGTCATCAGCACACAGCCCCTAGGAGGATAGATTTTTAACTTGTGTTTTCAATTTGCTAAATAGGTATAGGGTTTATAAGCCTGTTTACTTCATAAGTTTTACAAATTATATTTATTGAGGAAGTTATCCATTTCGTCTAAGCTTTAAATTTACTAGCATTATTGTTTACAATATTCTGCTCATTTAGATGATTTCTGCTCTATCTGTGATTCTTTTTTGCACATTACCACTCATACTCAGCTTGATTTGTTGACCCATAAGACTTTTTATTTCATTAAATTTTCTTATTTCATTACCTTCCTTTCAATTTCTATGGGTTTACAATGTTATTTTTTAAATTTGAAACTCTGCTCATAATTTTATATTAAATTACTAATGTATGTAATGGAGTTCTGGTGTAGTACTATTATAGGATAAACACTGGACTGCGAACCTCAAGGTCAGTGAATCAAACTCACCAGCCACTCCTCAGACACCCTATACAGGTCCAAACCCTATGTAACCGTTCCTCAGAAACTCCTGAGTGGGCACTGCCTCTGTGGCACTAAATGTAACAACGTAGGGAATGGAGCACTTTCTAAGAAGGTTACCTTTGTTGTTACCCCCTCTTTCCCAAGTCTCAATTTTTACCAAATCTAAATATTTTCCTGATTTCTTTCACCTCTGAATAAGGAGTTACTTGGAAATATGTTTAAATTTCCACTTCCCCGTTTCTATGGTCAGAGACTACAGTCTGTATGAAATTGATTCTTTTGAGATTGTTCTGAAGACCTAGAAGTTGGGTCATTTTTTGTAAATGTTCCCACATGTGATTGAAAATAACCTGTTGGGTTTAGGGTTCAATTGAGGTTCACTAATCAGCATTACTTTGTTAAAAGCTGGTATCCTTTCTTTTTGAGCCCATCAGTTACTTGGTGTATCACTTACTGTTGCTGTTAAGTGTCTTCAAGTTGGCCTGACTCCTAGCCAGGGTTCCCCAGGAGCAGCTGATGGACTTGAATCATCCATCTTATGGTTAGCAGTCCAATGCTTTGCCCTACAGCACCACACACACTGAGACAGCGCGATAGAATGTCCCAGAAAATGATGACACCAACCATCCCAACCACGAGACTCTTCACTTCTCAGCTGCATTCAATAATTCATTGCAATGGCCACACAGAACTCATGCAACATACTCACAATTAAGGAGTGGTAGGGAAGGTAACAGGTTACGATGCAGGATCAGAAAACATTCAGGACACAGTTCTTCCAGTCAGGACCACCCTTCTTCCACCATGTCCACAGAAAGGCCTCTCTCTGCCCAGACAATGGCTGCTGCTAACGGCCCATACAACACACCACTCCACCATAAGTCTCAGCCTGCAGGCACTAGGCTCTAGCTCCTGTAACTAAGTGTCTGGAGGCATCCCACTTCTGCAAGTAAACCTTCTGTCCACAGTGATCCAACTAAACTTGCTCCATGGGCTGGGACGCTATTGCTCGGTCTCATGCGCGGGCTCTTGGTTCTGTTGCTGCTGCTCCTTTACCGCTCCTACGTTCAGTAAGCAGAGATCGCTGGGTCCAAAGGATGAGTGAGCTCCACTCCTGGCTCGGCTTTTCTGATGGTAGTGAAAGCCCAACTTCCTGTTTCTAAGATGGCTCATTTTAGACAAATTAGAAATCCAGATTTTTACCATCACAATTAACCCTGCTAAGCACTCACAATTAAATTAGATAATCCTGTCAATCTCTTCCCACCTTCTCTTACCTGGGCAAAATGTTGTTTGGTGGAAGTTTACAAAGACTGTGGAAATTCTGGTCAGAAATTCTATAGAAGAATCTTGAACAAAAGGGGAGAAATGAACAACAGAATTCCAAATTCTCACAGAATCCAGACTCTCTGGAGCCACAGGGGGTAGATAAACCCTTGAAACTATTGTTGTTGTTAAGTGCCTTAGGGTTTCCAAGGAGCAGCTGGTGAGTTTGAACCGCCAACCTTATGGTTCAAATTGATATTGTGGTCCAGCACATTAACCCACAGCGCTGCACCAGGACTCCTTGAAACTATTACCCTAAGATAATTGTAAAACTCTAACCAAGAACATTAGAGGCTTCAGAAAATTTGTGGGGAAATTCCATTATCTATTAATTTCATTTTCAATGAACTTTTTGAAGCCCCCTCATATCCTCTAAATTATTATTATGATCAAACAACTGTGAATCTCTTTATCCTCCTCTCAAACAAATCAAATTTCTTAGAACACTTTAATTCAGATTACCCTCACCTGTCCTACATGTTACTGTATCCCATGCACCTTGGTTTTGTACTCTACAAATTAAACATTCTATTTTTCTAAAATAACCCCTGGTAGCACAATTCACCTGCTAGCTGAGTCAGAGAGTTAAATCTGCCACTCCATGGAAGAAAGATGAGGCAATCTGCTTCCGTAAAGATTGCTGTTAGGTGCCATCAAGTGGTACTGACTCATAGTGATCCTATGCACAATAGAACAAAACCCTGTCCGGTCCTGGGCCAACCTCACAATTGTTGCCACTCTTGAGTCCATTGATGCTGCCACTTTGCCAATCCATCTCACTGAGGGTCTTCCTCTTTTTCTCTGACCCTTCTCTTCCCCTTACCAAATATGATATTCTTCTCCAGAATATAATCTGGAAACGAAGTTTGGCCATCCTGGCCTCCAAGGAGCACTCTGGCTGCACTTCTTCCAGCACAGATCTGTTGGTTCTTTTGGCAGCCCATGGTACTTTCAATATTCTCCTTCAATACCATGACTTAAATGCAGCAATTCTTCTATAGTCTTCCTTATTCACTGTCCAGCATTTGCATGCATATTAGGTTATTGAAAACACCATGGCTTGCGTCAGGTGCGCACCTTAATCCTCTGGCTCTTCAACACTTTCAAAAGGTCTTGTGCAGCAGATTTGCCTAATGCAATACGTAAAGATTACATCTTTGGAAACCATGGGAGTTCTAGTTTCACAAGGTCACTATGAGTCAGAATCAACTGGACAGCAAGTTTTGTTTTTTATTTGTTTTTATTACTATTACTGCTCTATATTGAGCACTTGTTTAGATTACCTACAAGTTTACCAGTTTATGTGCTCACCATTTTTTTCATTTAATTTCTCCCTTCTGGGTTACATGTATTTGTTACTGATGTAGACAGATCCTTTTATATTGTTAGAAGTCAATTGTCAGTCAATTTTTCTCCCACATTTCTATTCTCTTCTTCTGGAATTCTGATTAGAACTGAGAGTCCTCATTTCATTATTCATTTGTTTAGCGCCCTTGAGTCCGTTCCAACTCATACCCACCCTGTGTAGGGTTTCCATGGAGCGACTGGTGGTTAGAAACCCAGAGCTTATCCTGCTCTGTATACACACCAGGGCTCTTTATTCATGCCACTCTTTTTTTATTTCCCATTATCTTATTTCTTTGGGTAAATGCCTCTGATCTATCCTCCACTTCAGTGACTTTCTCTTCTGCTGTGTCTAATCCGTTTTCTTACCCCATCAATTGAGTCTTGAATTTCAATGGTTCTGTTTTACAACTGTAGAAATTATTTAAAAACCTGTCTGCTCTTTTTCAATGTCTTGCTCTTCCCATCCTTTAAAATCCCTCCCCTTCCTCCTTTTTTTCTTTCATCCTAAACTCCAAGTTTGGTTCACTGCTGTTATCTCCAGCGCCTACTACATACAGCCTCTGGAACGCAACAGACGCTGAGTGTACATTTGTCCAACGGCTTTGTGAGCGTGAGATTAGGTAGATGCGGAATGCCAGGTCCACACTCTCCCATCGCCATGAGCTACTCTCCCACACCTTTTCTCTTTTCAGCAATGACAATTACACATTCAGTTTCTATTCTTTTAGTGGTTATCTTTTAAAGTGTTTATAATACATACTTGACTTTACAAAGCCTCCAACATCCTCGCCGATCTTCTGCTCTCACTGCAGTCCGAACTTTACAAAAAGGTGCCCGCGCATCCCATGACGTCACGGGACTGTGACGCTCCCTGGGAGCCCCGCCCCTCCTCGTCGCCCAGCCGAGAATCCAAGGTCTCTGCGCCGTGACGCCACGAATCCGGGCGGGCGGGTTTTGCGTCGGCCCAATGGGAGTAGCGCGCCGGCCTCCCCTTTAAGGAATGTTGTGACCTGACGTCACCGGAGCGAGTTACCTCCCCGAGCCGCCGCCGCTGGGCTCAGCGCGAGCGCAGGAGCCCTTCAACGCGAGGCGAGGAGCCCCCGGAGCCCCCAAACCGCAACCACATTCCCGCGCCGCGCGCCTCGGTCTGCGCGCCCAGCCGGGCCCGCGCGATGCCCTCAGACCGGCCCTTCAAGCAGCGGCGGAGCTTCGGTGAGGCCTGGCGGGCAACCAGCGAGCGCAGGGTGAAGGGCGTAGGGGGCCCTCGGACCCACTCCGAGTGCCGCTGGTGACGTCAGGCCCATGACGTCAGATTCAAGCTGGAGCCTAGGACTGGGAAGCCGGCTCGGGCCTGGCCTGGGAGATCCCCCCCGCCTCCCTACCGGGTCTGGTGCCTGAGGTTGTGGGGCCGGTCGGCCCAGG